TCAACTATAGTCATAGACTTCAACATGAAAACCTCAGACTGTTACTGTGAAGTGTCTCAGTAACTTCTGCAAGAGGTTATGCAATCAGGCATTAAATAATGTGATTCCCCTGTGTGACCAAATCTAATGACTGAGAGTCCAACCTACTGATGTGTTGAGGGCTCTCAAAATCTGTTGGGAATTATTAAAGTCACCAGAAGAGAAGTCCCAGCAGACAACTAGAATAAAATGTAACATTTTAACAGACCAGTGCAGAAACAGCAAAGAAGTTAATTTGTGTGTTGCTTTTTTTCCAGATTTTCAGTTAGAATGCTAATGCAGCATAATCCTGCAACCACAGGAAAGAACATTTTTAGATAAAACATAATCAAGTTAAATTCAGACCAGAAGCTAGTGTTAATAAGGCTCCTCTACAAAACATTTAACTATATCACTTATTACCACTTGATTAAGAGTTCATTGTTTATTTACATAGCATCCAGGAAGCAGCTTTAAAAAGTTCAGTATTACCAACAAAGGAGGCAAGAAGTAGGACAGAGGTATTATAGTAAGAATGTAGAAAAAACCAGTATTTTTTAAAAAAATACGCATTGCTCTGCTTAGTAACATTTTTAAAACTCAGTAGCTCTTCAGTCTGAAAGACAGAACCACCAGCAGAATACAGCTCCTAAATGGTTTATTACTGACAGACAAAAGAGTATTTCTGTTTAGATAAGCACCACCACTTCCTGAAGCTATCAAATATTTATAGGGTCCCTCTTACACAACTGCTTAAGCAGCCTGTTTCTCCACAATATGTGAACTCTCATGGGTCTTCAGCACACAATACTTCCAGCACTATAAACCGAAACTTTTATTCCAAAACATATTGGGTTGAGTTGGAGTGGTGTGGTTACACTCGCTGGCTGTGAAGGACCAGGCACTGTCAGAAGCAATTCTCTAAATCTGGTTCAACTTCTCTGTTACTGATCCTCCACTGCAATTACTGTGCTGCCACATTATGGTAGTGCTTAAGTGACCCCAGTGGGAAGCTGGAAATCACCTAGAACTCCTAGCATATGTCAGATTGTTTCTCTGATCAATAACTCATTTTCCTTGGCAGAACTCTCAGGAATCACTCTAATGTGTTTCCACAGCCATCTGTAACAACTACGAGAAACTTTACGCACTGTAGAGTATTTCCCTTGTTAGAAACACACGATAAAATCCTAACATGGTTAGACACTAGTACTACATCTCACAAATATTTCAACAGTACATCAGAGAACATGAAAATTCTGGTTACATGTTCAACATTTTTTGAGAGCCAGAGCATGCTTAAAGAAACTTAGAAATCTGCATCTTACTTGGAGCATTTGGATCGTGGCGAGGTTTGCAGCTTTGAGAGTCTTTGAGCATATTGTCTTTACTACTGGGTTGACAGACGTTTTTGAATGGTTTACAGAACGGTTTCATATTAGTTTGAGATAATGCAGTTGGGACTGTGTCATGAGTCCCTATTCCAGCCTGAAAACACCTGCCACTGCTGAAGTCATCTGCTGAAATCACACTCATCACTTCAATTTCTTTTCCTCCAACCATGAGTGTTTGACCTTCATCAAGACTGTCTAGCTCTTTAGCTTTATATCCATGTCTCAGTTTAATTGAGACAAGGGTCTTTTGCTGAGGATGGATTAGGAGAAAAAGACCCAAACCTTCTTTTCTAGCAATTATAGATTCGAAATTAAGAGGCCCCGATTGAAGGAAAGCAAATTATGGAAAAGGGAAAAAAGGAAAAATAACAGCCCTTTATTAAGTATGTGTGCATTAACGTAAC